GGCAGGGGAAGCTGCTCGGTGAGGATGAATGAGTGAGAATAAATAGTATAATTTCATCTGGTTTGAGGAAAGAGGTGCACCTGGCAACGGTTTGGTTTTCGTTTTGGGGTTGGTTGGTTTGTTGTTTTGGTTGGTTTGTTGTTTTTTTTTTTTTTAAATTAGGGTAGCTTTTCTGTTTTCGGCTTTCAGATGTTCTGAGTGGTAAAAGGGAAGTGAGGAAGCGGTTAACTGCACCCAACTAACTTCAGAAAGATGAGTTCATCCGGAGAAGGAATATGTAATATTTCCTTTTAGGGTTTCATTTATTGTTAGGGACTTGATTTTTTAGTAAAACCAATACAGCACATAATAATCCCACCACCACCACCACCCCCCAGCCAGCCAGTCTGCAGTAACAGCTTGAATCTGAAATCAGGGGAATCCAAGAAGTGGGAAAGAGGGTAAGGCAATGCTGGGACTCATGTGCTTGCAAACTTTGACACCGAGCTCCCCAGCAGCTCTTGCACTGGCAACCAGCACACACAGTGAACCTGAGGCAGTACAGAGGAAGAAGTCAGTTTCACAAGAATTGTCAAAATGCAGGCGGCAGCAAGTAGGGGAAAAGGCAAGACTGGGGTTTTTCCCTCTTCACTCTGTGCTTATTGTGCAAGAAAGAACATATACAGAAAATGTGAAAATCTGAATGTAGCACTTCGGTGTGCCATGTTTAGCCCTTGTTCATAGATCTCTTTATTACATTTATTACACAGTGATATTTGCCAAAATATGTTTGTGTTCCTTCACAGAAGGAGGCTTTGTAAAGTAGCAACAATTTAGTGTGCCACAACTTCCCTTCAGAGTTGTAAAGTTGCCACTGGTACTGGTGACAGATAACTCACCAGTAATGACAAAAAAGTTTATTGTCAGATAAGAAAACATCTCAAGGGTGGGTCCCATCCAAATCTCTCAGGGGCTTCCTAGGTTTTGTTGTGGTTTTTCTTTTTAAAAAAGTTGTTGTGAAACAGAATATACTTAGAAGTAAGAGGAGGCATTACAGATACCAGGAATTGAATTCAAAATTTCTCAGATAAATAAGAGAAGTAGTCCTACGTAAACGAGTCAAAATGTCATTAAAATAAGGGCAAGGAGTTTCAGAATTTCAGTGGAATAAAAAATAAATGCAAATTAATTACATGCTCTTCTTTCTTAGAAAAAAAAAGGCAAATAATCTGGCATGCATTAGCAGACAAAATTAGCACCTCTAGAATAAAGGAGGTGCACAGAGGTGTATGTTTGTGTATTTATGCAGATTTTTATTTTTGTTTAAAATTCAACTTGGTACTGTGAGGTGTCTGAGAATCTGGAGCACAGGAAATCTGACAGATGCAGACAAACAGCCAGAAGTGCACAGAGAAGTGACAAGCCTGATAAGGGCTGAGGAAAATGATCCATGAGGGAACACTGAATGAGTTAGGCTTGTTTATCTAGAAGAGAGAAAACTAAGGGCAAAGTGTGGAGCATTTCAAATATATATATTTTACCAAAGTATTATTAGTGAGACTTTTCTTCCAAATGTCAATGTTTTCTGTTTTGTGAGAGCACTCAGTTATGACTTTCTATATGGCATATTTTGGTTCATAAAGAGATTGATCAATAGTTGCTTCTCCATGTCCAAGAAAGGAAAACAGAAAATCAATGTAATTCACTATGCAAAAAACTTAGGGAATATTCAGAAGAACTTTCTTACTCTTCAAGTAATGAATTACTAGAACAGGCTACCAAAAAACCCCATGCCTGCATAATATCCTTCACTGAAAGTTTTGATGAAATTGGATAAATACCTGTGAGGGATGGCTGAGGTTTACGTCACCTGGACTTAGTGTAAGTGGTTTGACTAGGGATCTACTGATTTTTTCTCCAGCTCTACATTTCAACAGAAGAGAAAGGAATAAATCAATCCAAAGTACTTTTTAATGCTTCTTCACTTATACTTTTACACATAGCCCAAGCAATCCTGAAATCTCTCCTCAATGGTGATGATCATATTGTTGGTATTGAGTATTCATCTTTATAATACAAAAGACCAGTAATCATAAAGACAGAACTGAATGCCAAAAATGAAGTGGTCTCTGTCCAGAGCCTGCAAAGGCAGGACAGACACAGGATGAAAGGAAAGCATGAAAAAAAACATTTTCCCCACTTTCTCTGGCCATCTTTATCTTTTATCTTCCTTTGCTCTTGCAACAATAATGTCCACCATTTCTCAGCAGATTTCCCCCTATATTTGAGACTCTTTCCCACTAGTTTTTCTTGTCGAGGACTTGAGTATGTTTGCGTGAATTCTAGCTAAAATGGCTATGATATGGGGAAGAGGCGGTTTCCTATGAACTTGACCTCTTGTCTAAAATCTGTATGCAACCTATCTTTATAAAGCAGCTGATCAAGATGTAGGGCAGTATGTCTCAAAAGTTTTCAAAACAATAATCATAGAAAAACATCATGGCTTCAAAATCCCTATGAATATATGCTATCATCATTTTTATCTTGTCTTGGACTGTGCTTAAGAAGGTCTGAAAATGGATGCCAAATTGCTGCAATTATTAGTATATATAGAATTGTTTTTTTAAAAATGACAAATTGTAAGAACTGTCAGGTTCTACACTTAGTCTTAATCTTTAAGAAGACTGAAACAGACCATGTAATTTTGAACTCATGCTAAAACTACGTAGAGTATCCGCTTGTTTTGGCTCTACTGAGGTCAAATTAATCTCTCTTACTGACATTAGCAAAATTAGTATGAACTTACAGTTATATGGTTCTTATATTTTTTAAAATGTTTGTCTTCTACTGCTCATTCTTTGACATACTCAAATTTGAATATCAATATATCAATAACAATACTTTTTACCAGAGTAGGCAAAGTATCATCACTCGTAAATGTTTTCCTTTATAAGTTGACATTGGTCTTGCTAATTGTGGATACATCATTGAAGTTTACAGTTGCCACTAAATACTTGTGGATCACTGTTCATAACTACAAAGTCTCATAATTTTTTGTTTGAGAAAGGACTCCAGTGCATCTCAAATTGACTGTTGTTGTAGAAAGAGACATTTTAACATGTTGAGTGGCAACTTTGTTGTTCTTCATTTTGGGTTGGGTTTTGTTTGGTTTTTCTAATGCAGCGAGCCACTGCTTGCATCAAGTGAATGTTTTATTTTCTACTCGATGGTACTGGATGCCAAATTGCAACCTTTATCTAAAATGCATCGCATCTCCAGGCATGCTTGTAAAAGTTAGACTGGAACCACCAAGCAGAGAAAAGTTTGTAAATACACAGCCACAGAAGAATAAAAAAAAAAATCTTGACGTGGAAGGTAAATATGCACTACAGCTAATTTTTCTTGAAAGAATAGCATGAGGTCAACCCTTGCAATTTTATAATCGCAAAGAATAAAAAAAAAGAAAATTCACCATAAATTCACCATGCAGCATTTACATAGATAAGTGAAATGAACTCATAAAGAAAAGCTGAATGCACACTCTCTGCATAAGCCACAAAACATTAATACAAAATTATGAGTATGTACAAGCCCAAATTAAACGAACAGTTATTTACATGTGTGCCTATGTTATATTCCCTTGGGTGGTCCAGCTTCCATCTGTGAAACTATTCATGCTAACAAAGTTAAGCATGTGTACTCACCGGAAGTGACTCTGAGGTCTCATAAATAAATCCTATTATGTAACATCTGATAAAGTTGTTTTTACATTACTATCAAGCTCAGAAACAGGGAATGCACATTACTGGGCCAGATCTGAGTTCAGTGTCCTGTCACAACAACTGACTAGTGCTACATACTTGAGAGAAATTTATATGTACAACATAATGGGAGATATGGGATGATTTTTGCTCACAGTAGCCTTGTATCTCATTAAATCCTTGACTCCAAACCCTTTCCAAGTTGGCAAATTCCATAATCCACAGTGTTGGGTTTAGGTTGTTTTTTGTTTTTTTGGGGTTTTAAAAAGAAAAAACAAACTAAAAGAAACCAGAAACTTCCTTTTAACAATTCTAAATTTGCCACTTTGTCATCTCTAAGAGGATGTCCTCTTGCTTTTCAGTTATCAGTGTGTAGACATTCCAAACTTACTGTATCTGTTCCAGTTGTCCTGATAGTTTGTCTACTTTCTCGAATATTTTTTGTTCTTTTGAATCATTCTTGACACAAGCATTTTTTTCTGTTCTCCATTCATTTTTTTTCTCATTCTAAGTTTGCAACATTCATTCTGAAGTGTTTTCACTGCTGTACATCAGTTCAAAATAAGCTGCAGTACTTGCATAATAACATTTTCTGGTTTTAATCTTATTTCTGGCTTGCTAAATTTGTCTAGTCTGCAAATTGAGCGGTCTAGTTATTGCTCAGGTCCTTAGTTCTGTGCAAATTGCACTGAACTAGTATGTGTGTTAATTAAAAGGGGTTTTTTTGCAAGGCCTATTACTTGCATTTGTCAACGTCAAACTCCATTTGAAACGTGCGTAACTGCCTCTGAAGCTTCTCAGAACTGCCTCACCCTGACTGAGAAGTCGCAGACTCAGGAAGCAGGTCAAGTTTCAGTGCAGGCTGACGGGTAACTTGCAAGTTTAACCAAAATCTTCTAAGCCAAAGTTCAGTGTAAGCGCAACGTCAAAGTGTCAGCTCAGGTTTAGGTGATGCCTGGCTCCGGTTTCCCCGTCACCCGGTACCGCTCGCCTGACGAGCCGCTGTCCACCCCCCCCCCCCCCCCCGGCGCA